GTTGGGTGTTATCGCCAGAACCAATGACTTCTCCCTTGCCTGGTAAGGGACCCCTTCCTCTCCCACATTCAGGCCAGGGAGCCCCACGGCCAAGTCTGTGCTACACGGTTCCATCTACTCTTCACAGTTATTTGGACTCAGGATGGTTACTTGGACCAGGCTGGACCACTAAGGCTCTTTCTTCTGCAAACTTAGACATGGGACCTAACGGGGACCGTCTATCCAGGTGGCTGACCTATCCCCACACACACTCAAGCTCTCTAGATGACCATTTTCTACTCACTTAGTGGACCAGGATGAAGAGAAAGTATTTCTTTGGAGATAAAGATGAAGCAGCTGCATGAAGAGCAATAGGAACAATCCCAACAGCAATTTGGAGCCTGAGTCTAGTCACTCCCAGATCTTTGGGTCTTAGAGTCCCATGAGGCACCCCATTATTCTCTAAATTACTCAAAACCAGATATTTCAACCACTACAATAAAGGAGTGCACCAAGAACCTGTTTTGCCCTATAAAAGAACCAGTAAGGGGGACCAGTGGATGATGTAGTGGTTATGTCGCTGGACTCCCATGTAGTCAACCGCAGTTCGAGTCCTGGACCTTAAAACTCATACCAGCTGTATGTGCGTGTGTGCCCAAGATTCCAAGAGGAGAATAGAGGAGAAGGGATTGAGGGATGGCTATCTTCCCCAGGGAGTTATTTCTCACTTTCTGTCTCCCTGTCTCCTTCTCTTGAGCGAGTACACGTAACCTATAGCAAAAATCGCTTTTTTAAAAAAAAGAGAGCCAGTAAGGTCAAAGAGAAGAGACAAATTCCTGTTCCCTTACTGATCACCCTGGGGATGCCTCTGATGTAGAGGCCTCAGGCACAGTGTCTGCGAGGTGCCACAACCCAAGCCCAGGAAGGCTGGATCTGACCAAGGATAGTCTTCATGGCAACATCTGGGCTGGTTGGTTCAGATGAAGCCTAGAAGTGGCTGGAAGAAAGGCTAAAAAATAAGCACTGTCTTTCTCCTCCCTTCAGAGTTTCCGCCAGGGTTGGAGAAAGAACAGAACGTTATGAAACACAGGGAAATGGTAGCGAATGTCCCCCAACCATAATTAGGAGGATGGGTACGAACAGGCCAAGTGGCAGAACAGAGCTGCTAGTCAGAGTAGACACACCAGTGACCCACAGAAGCTCCAAGGGGGTTTGAAGGACAGGGACACCCACTCGTGTTAGGCTGCCATTAGCAACTCTCACCTCCCACCAGCTCTAGTTCTCCTGTTAATCTCTCCCCCATTCCCTTGGGTCATGTCATTGTAGAAGCAGGATTTGTAGTAGTGGTGTTTTCATTTTCATGAATGACCTATATTCTTCATTTTGCTCATCTACAATTTGTCTGTGGCAATAAGGTTGTGGAGGTCACTGGTAGGAAGCGGGGACATGGACTCATCTCACACCGGTAGCTGAGCAGGCAGAAGTGAGGAAGATACCTCATTTCAATCCATTTCATAAACAAATTCCTTGGAGATCATTTCTGGATGGAAAATGAGAAATCTTAAGTTTTTGAAATGAGTTCCTCTCTAATAAATATAATAATGACATATTTACATATTATTTTATTTTTTATTATTACAAAATTTACATAATGAACATAAATAAATATTAGCATAAGCTAAATAGGTACAGGGAGTTAAGAACTTGAAATTAGGAATTAAACCCAAAAAGGAGAATAAACATTAAGCGAATTACTACTTAGTGTTTTTCTACCCTCAGTAACATAGGATCAAAACCTTTCCCGGTCAACTACAGTGTACTTTCCCTAACTCAACTCAAAATATTCAGAACTCCAAGAAATGCATGAGATTCATCTAGCCCTTTTCCTGGAAAAAAAAAAAAGTTTAATTATCTCAAAGTAAAAATCCTTGAGAGAAGAATAACCTAGACTTCTAAGTCAATCTTTAGCCTGTGTTTGTTACTCAATGGGAAAAAAGGCAGAGATAGGATTAAACTTGGCATGGACATTATTGTGCAATAATTTGCCTGGGTCTTTGTCCTGGTTCCTGAAAGGGAACCTCTGAACACATGGAATTTCCAAATAGGAGCATCTTTCTTATACATCATGGGCCCTTTGGAATTTATCCCAAGAAGATGATTCACCGTAGGTCCTGAGATAGTTTTAGAATGGGGTTGGCCAAGTTTGGAACACTCACAGAACTTGCCCTATATGTCTCTCCATTTGGCTGGTCCTGTTTTGTATCTTTTATAATAAAACTGTAATCGCAAGCTAGGGAATAGCACAGTGGAACAGAGCTAGACCCACATGGGAAAAGTCCTGGGTTCACACCCTCAGACATCCCTGAGCATGCCGGGTACACACGTGTGTGTCTTGAATTCTGGCCAGCTGGGATTGGGCGGGATCACAGCATGAAAACCCTGCTTGGAATGCCTCTCTCTCTCTCTCTCTCTCTCTCTCTCTCTCTCCCTCTCTCTTTCTCTATTTCTGTGTCTCCTTCTCTCATATGGAAGAAACACACCCACACACCCATACACATATTAAACCTGTAAATCATATGGGCCCAGCAGATGGTATAATGGTTACGTTGCTGGACTCTCACATGGCTGACCACAGTTCGAGTCCTGAACCTGGCAACTTGAAACTCATGCCAGGTGTGTGTGCATGAGTGTTCAAAATCCTAAGTGGAGAACGGAATAGAAGGGATTGCAGCATAACCACCCCCTAGGGGTGACTTCTCACTTTCGGTCTCTCTTGGGTGCTCACACCTCCTCTATAGCAAAAATCTCTCAAAACAAAACTCTAATCAGAGGTATAGTACTCTGAGGGCTTGTGAGAACCCTTGAATTTGTACCCAGTTAGTTAAAAGTGTGAGGGACCAGCAGTTAACATAATGGCTATGTCGCTGGACTCCCACATAGTCCACCGCGATTCGAGTCCCGGACAGGGTGGCTTAAACTCACGCCAGACGCGTGTGCATGTGTGCCCAAGATCCCGAGAGGAGAATGCAGGAGAAGGGATTGCGGCGTGGTCATCCTCCGCGATCACAGCAAGAAACCCCCTCTTGGTGTGCCTCTCTCTCTCTCTCTCTCTCTCTCTCTCTCCCTCTCTCTTTCTCTATTTCTGTGTCTCCTTCTCTCATATGGAAGAAACACACCCACACACCCATACACATATTAAACCTGTAAATCATATGGGCCCAGCAGATGGTATAATGGTTACGTTGCTGGACTCTCACATGGCTGACCACAGTTCGAGTCCTGAACCTGGCAACTTGAAACTCATGCCAGGTGTGTGTGCATGAGTGTTCAAAATCCTAAGTGGAGAACGGAATAGAAGGGATTGCAGCATAACCACCCCCTAGGGGTGACTTCTCACTTTCGGTCTCTCTTGGGTGCTCACACCTCCTCTATAGCAAAAATCTCTCAAAACAAAACTCTAATCAGAGGTATAGTACTCTGAGGGCTTGTGAGAACCCTTGAATTTGTACCCAGTTAGTTAAAAGTGTGAGGGACCAGCAGTTAACATAATGGCTATGTCGCTGGACTCCCACATAGTCCACCGCGATTCGAGTCCCGGACAGGGTGGCTTAAACTCACGCCAGACGCGTGTGCATGTGTGCCCAAGATCCCGAGAGGAGAATGCAGGAGAAGGGATTGCGGCGTGGTCATCCTCCCTGGGGGGTGAGAACCCTGAAGCTTGAGCTGGTGTCTGAAGAGAGGGCAGTTTGTGGAAAATTGTGCCCTTCATCTGTGACATTTGACCTAATTCCAGGTAGCAAGTGTTACAATTGTTCCGCAGACAACATGCTACGAACTCTAACATGACAGACCCAAAAGGGAAACCAAATTAACAATCTCGAGAGAAAGATAGGATTAGAAGCCAGATCTATAAAAACTCGAATCCAAATCTCCTCCCACTTGGACAGGCTGCTGCGTGTGAGCCTAAGCAAGCAGGCAACCATATGAGCCTTGGTTTCTTCATCTGCGAGCAGAAACTGAGTTTATAAACCAACTGGTAAAGGTTTCCGTTAAGTTACTAAGTCACTTAGTAAATATTTTAGGCTTTGTGGGCCACTTATGATCTCTGTACCTTCTTCTTCTTTCTCAATACAGAAGTCTTTAAAAGTGTGAAAACCATTCTCAGTTCACTGGCCAGATTTGGTCCACAGGCCATAGTTTGCTGAGCCCTTATATAATAAAGTTCTATAATCAGCTAACAACCTGACTATATCTCAACTTCTACCTCAAGGAAATTATAGCTTAAGTTTCTATTAGTTTAAGTACCCTAGGAAGTACAGGTATTTGTGTTTTTATTACATGAGTTAAGAATTGATTACATCGGAGCCAGCAGGTGGCGTGGTGGTGACCAATGCAGAAAGATGGTTGCCAGAGGGCAGGGGTGGAACACAGACGGCAGTTTGTGGAAAATTGTGCCCTTCATCTGTGACATTTGACCTAATTCCAGGTAGCAAGTGTTACAATTGTTCCGCAGACAACATGCTACGAACTCTAACATGACAGACCCAAAAGGGAAACCAAATTAACAATCTCGAGAGAAAGATAGGATTAGAAGCCAGATCTATAAAAACTCGAATCCAAATCTCCTCCCACTTGGACAGGCTGCTGCGTGTGAGCCTAAGCAAGCAGGCAACCATATGAGCCTTGGTTTCTTCATCTGCGAGCAGAAACTGAGTTTATAAACCAACTGGTAAAGGTTTCCGTTAAGTTACTAAGTCACTTAGTAAATATTTTAGGCTTTGTGGGCCACTTATGATCTCTGTACCTTCTTCTTCTTTCTCAATACAGAAGTCTTTAAAAGTGTGAAAACCATTCTCAGTTCACTGGCCAGATTTGGTCCACAGGCCATAGTTTGCTGAGCCCTTATATAATAAAGTTCTATAATCAGCTAACAACCTGACTATATCTCAACTTCTACCTCAAGGAAATTATAGCTTAAGTTTCTATTAGTTTAAGTACCCTAGGAAGTACAGGTATTTGTGTTTTTATTACATGAGTTAAGAATTGATTACATCGGAGCCAGCAGGTGGCGTGGTGGTGAAGGTGTTAGATCCCACATAGCCAGTTGTATGGTTTGAGTCTTGGACCCGGTGGCCTGAAAAACACAACAGGCACATGTTATACGTGCCTAAAATCCTGAGAGGAGAATGGAGGAGAAGGGATGATGGTGTGATTATCCCACTAGTGGGTGATTTCTCGCTTTCTTTCCCTCTCTGTCCCTCTCTGGCAAGTGCACATGCTCTATGACAAAAATCTTAAAAAAAAAAAAAAAATTAAAAAAAAAATTGGTTATATATTTTCCTAATTTTTTTATGTACTTAAAAAGTATATAATGGTAACTTTCTCTTCAGAAATAACTGGAGGAAAACAGTGCATTCCTTACAGAGCTTGATTGTTTAAGGTTATACCTTTCTTTTATGAGAGAGACAGAACATGAGAGAAAGAGACAGCATCCACAACAGAGTCTTCATGCCGCTGCCCACCCCTTCCTCAGCCAGCCCAGAGGTGGACATGTACAAACCCAGCCCGCAGAGGGAGGCTCCAGACCAAGAACCCAGGACCTTTCCCACGGGGGTCCAGTTGCGTTACCACTGCATCACCCTCTGGCCCCCCATTATAGAGCTTTTTAACAAAAGGCACGTGCATGCATGCACACACACACACACACACACACACACACTCCCCTCCACAAGAGCTTCAAGTTCACCTCTGCCTTCTAACCCATATTTACAAAGACGTTTCATAATCCTTCAGAACACAGATACACTCAAAGCAGACCAGCAATGGGGAAGCACTTGGGCTGATTATTTCTCCTAATCAGACAGACACAATGAAAATGCTGTGCAAACGCAAAATATAATTATTCTAGCCTTGGCAGACACATTTTGGAGGACATTTCAAGACCCTAGTTTGCAAAAAACCACTTCTCTCCAAATATAGCCACTGTGGTCCACTTCTCCACAGATGAAACACAAAAGGAAAGTGACACTAATGGCCAAGATTTCTCCTGACTGTCAATACATATGGGTTTGTCTTTCCTCTTTTGCTTAGAAATAGAGAAGATGCAAAGAGAAGTAATAAAGACTGCTGAATATTTAAAATATTGCTGGCTGCTGAATTCATTCAGTTACTGTGCACCTCTTGCATATCTGGCATTTTCACAGGCAGTAAGAAATGAGAGTGCACAGGTGAAGAAATAAACTGAGATTTTGGTAGCAAGAGAGACCAAGAAATCTGGGAAGTCAAAGCACAGAAATGACTCCCAGTTTCAAATAGAACCAAACAAGGCAATTTCATCAAGTAAGCATTTGAATAGGGCTACAAGAATGAATATGAGGGACCAGCAGATGGCATAATAGTTACATCGCTGGACTCCCATGTAGTCGACCACAGTTCGAATTCTGGACCTGGTGACTTAAAACTCACGCCGGGCGCATGTGCACACGTGCCCAAAATTCCTAGAGGAGAATGGAGGAGAAGGGAT